AGTTTTAATATTAGAGGGAGGGGGGGGGGGGCCCTTTAATAATAGGGGGAAGGGATTACGCAGGGTTTCAGAGCGATGAGGCCCGAATACAAGCCCTGAGGCTCCGAGTGGTAAGGCTTTTACAAAAATAGACTAATTGAAGAACCCTAAACCCTAAACCCTATACATCCTAAACCCCTAATCCCCCGAACCCTAAACCCCAAATAACTCCCGGTGGCTGGAAAAGCAAGCCCCACAGGTCCTGCTCAACTTAAGAGCCACCTTGCCTCTGCGGCAATTTCGCTGGGATTTGTTGTCCCCAGAGCCTCGTGGCGTACATGAACGTTCCTGCTGCTTTAGGCCCAGATTTGGGATTCCGATATTGAGTTTGGGGCTTGAGGTTTAGAGCTTTAGGTTTAGGGTGCATACTGAGCTATGACTGTGTAGGGACAGTGACCTGCTCTTTAGGTCACCCGGCTTTTGGGGGCAAGTATGAAGGTCGTGAAGCGATCCGTGCTAGAAGGTCATGGGCTTCAGAGGGCACGGTTGACGATTTCATGAAACCCTGAAGTCCTAAACCGGTAAACCAAGGAACAACACTGATAAAGCATTCAGGACTTGATAGTATGCACCCCAGGAGGGCTCTGCGTGAGATGAAGCCAATGCACAATCCCAGGACAACGCCTGTAAGTTTGACTGTCGGGTTTAGGGTTTAGGTTTGCGCTATGTTGCAGCTAACAATCGAAAGACGTGCATCAGCGCCGCGTGCAGAACTGAAAAAATGTGCCCAAGACATTGGAAGTAAGGATGATTCCCACAGAGTCACAGAGTGCAATCCCCTGCAAGTAAAAGGATCGAACGCAGGAGTTGCCGATCGGTGTCCAAGCGCAAAGAGCAATGAGCTTGCGAAACGCCCTGCGTGGTACTTCGGCCACAAAGAGAGCACCAAGCGACGGAACCGCCTCTCTCTCGATGAGGAGCTCTCAAATTCCGGGACCGGCACAGGAAACATCCTTGCTTTGCTGAAGCTTACATGTCTTTCTGACGCTTCTCCAGGCTCCAAGCTGTCATCGGCGGATCGCAAGTTGATGCACGTCTTCTTCACCGACACATGAGACTTCTCAAGCACCTCACAACTGGCAGCCTTCTCGCACCAGAAACAGCCCGCCCAGTACTGAGAGCGCAACATCTGCGATGGTCACAATCACTCCGCAGTGTACCTCCAATCCAGGCCCCGTATACTTCGAGTCGGTGTATGTTCCTTATATTGCACTAAAGCGAAGATATGAAGACCCAACCCTAAACCCCAAAACCTTGGAGGCCGAAAACCTCCAACCCCTACAAGCCCCAGCACTTCCTGAATTAATATTAGGGCCTGAATAAGTACGTTTACTATTTTGGGGGGGTTTCTTATTGTAATTATAGTATAATATCCCCCAAAACCCTATTCTAGCTATTTAGGCCCCTAGTTTATGCTTGAAGCCAAGGAGCCATGCCAGGTGCGGCCATCGTGAATGCCGGCGCCGCCCTGCGGTACCTGCACTACCACATTGGATCGGTCTTCAGGGTTTAGGCTTTGGGGTCGAGGGCCTGGGGATTTAGGGTTTATGGAAGGCGATAGAGGTACCGGTGAGAATCCTGCTAAAAATGCTGCGTCTCAGCATAAAGACTAGTGGCACTACAAAAGCAGGTTCTTGGTTGTGAAGTTTGGGCAAGGAATGACGGGCTGTAAGCTAAAGCGAAAGCTTGCTCAGAACCACTGTTACCTTTCTGGTGAGCAACATATAAGCGGTGAGTAGTTCTGCTGCGCACTCTGCTGTCACGGGAGATTTCCCCCTTATGTTCAGCAAGTTTCGCTACATGTTGATATTTTCTATAACTTCCGATGAGTTTCACATTGCATGCAGATGTTTCCATGACACTCGATAGTTTGGTATTTTTCCAGGGAGCACAGTGCACCACTAGCCTCGCTCCCGCACATGCCACCACTGTGGAGGTATGTGCCGGATCGGCTTCTTAATGATCCTAACATTCCCGAAGATATTGCTATGATGGTCTTCATGGTGGAAAGGGGCAACAGGAAAGATAATGAAGGTAAGCCGCGGCATGATCGCGACAAAATGATGACCATCACCCACATCCCGAAATTTATACCTGAAGGGGTTGTATTGAAGGGCACTTGTTGCGTTCTGACACACCCCAAAAAACCTTGAATCCTAGTTGCAATCCTTTTTAGCAAGCCTTTCGTATTTCTTACTTGGAGGGAACTTTATGATGCCCTCCGCAAGCGCTACGCGGCTACTCCCTGCAACCGAAAGGCCCAAACCATAAAGCCCTAAACCCCTAAAGCCCCAGAAAGCCTAAAGTAGGGGCCTTAATAATTAGAATAGGGTTTTGGGGGTTCCTGAATATATTTATAGCACAACATACACCAAACCCTACTCTAATTATCAAGGCCCCTATATTATATCCTTATAAAGCCCTTATGGTATCCCTTGTAAGGAACCCTTTAAAGGAACCCATGGGCCCATATGTTAAACCTTTGAGATCCTGAGGCTCTGGCGAGTACGGAGATGAGCTCCACCTCCGCGAAGAAAGCGCAGGTGGGGGCTGCGGTCTTCTTTTCAAAATTGGAGGCTCAGGGTTCAGTTTTTTGGGAATTGGAGGCTCAAGGTTCAGTTTTTTGGGGGTTTAGGGTTTAGGGTTTGTGGTTTAGGGTTTGGGGGTTTAGGGTTTAGGCTGGAAATCGCAGACAAGCCATCCGCAGCCCATTTGGTGCCCACCATAGGTTTTGGGATTTCGTGTCCTCATGTTTTCAATGTACTTCTCCACACGGGATTCTTGGGAACTTCGGTGAGGAGGAGGTAGTCAGTGTTTTCCTGTCTCCAATGGAGCTTCATCAGGAGCTTGTCGTAGGCCTCAGTGGTTGGAGTGATGCCAGGCAGGCTTCGAGCGGCTTCATACTCCTGACCATGGCCATGCTCCAAACTGAGCTTGAGGACAAAGGCACGGGTCGGAACAAAATCATCTTCATGACCCTTCTTTCTTTCTCTGTTGGCGGAGAGGGTCAACGCTGCCTTCGGCTTCAGGTGAAACGTTGCAGGAAAGGCTTTCCTACACCAGTCGAAACTGGTTGGTAGTAGCCAAGCTTTGTGCTCGGTGGGGCCTTTGTAGTCCAGAAAAAAGGGGCCCATCTCACCCCCTCATGGAGCCGTTGATGAGGATTCTTGCCCTAAGACTCAAAATGGCCCAACAGCCTTAGATAGTACGGTCTTTGGGCCCCAAAGCCTCAATAGATGAGTCCTTAGGGCCTTTTCCTTAGCGTCAAGAAGGGATCCCCATCCCTTTTGGGTGTTTAGGTTTTGTTTAGGATTTAGGGTAGCTTTTCTAAGGAACCTAAGACAAGGGAAAAGTATAAACAAACGCCTTATAAACCCCAAACCCCAAACCCTAAACCCTGGACCTAGCTATGCGCTGGTTGCCGAAGTCCCTGGCCCGAAGAAGCTGAACCTTTGATTCATGGCAAGACTGCATTTAAAGCCTAAACCCTACCTAGACCCCAAAGTATGTGATATAATAGTCTTTTATAAGTCTTGGGCCATTATTTTACCTACTTTTTGGGGTGTTTAGGTAGGCCCTAAACCACAACAGGTTTCAGGCTTTCTGCTCAACTCCAAACATGCACAATCCAACCCGAATCCCCAATCCACAAATACCATGTCAAGCCCTATTGCCTATTGTCGGTTTGGGGTTTATTAGGAATACCATGCCCAGATCGAGCCCGACAAAACGAGACGCTACGAACAACGCAGAGAACCGCCCAAAAACATCCTAGAACCATACAGACTCCTTGTGAAGGTCGAAACGCTGTTAAAGCAGCCAGAAGCCCCCATGCCAGTATTCAAAACCCTATAGAACCCTACGAAACCTCTCCAAATCCTCGGGAGACTTTCAGATTCAACACCAGATGAAGACCACAGAAAGACAAACAAATCCCCAAGACAAACCCGAAACCCCTAAACCCCTAAACCCTAAACCCTAAACCCCTAAACCCCTAAACCCTAAACCCCTAAACCCCTAAACCCTAAACCCCTAAACCTCTAAACCTTTTCAACCACCGCAGAAAGCTCTTAAGGCCTCCTCCAGTCTCAAGCCCTCGTGTTTTGCAGCATCCGCCATCAGCTGCTGGTGGTTGGAATCGAAGAACCTGGTGATCTACAGGGGTGTTGGCTTCAAGGTTTACAGTAGGGTTTAGAGTTTAGGGCTTTAGGGTCTTAGGGTTTAGGGTTTAGGGTTTAGGATCAAAGAACCTGGTGATCTTAACATAGGGGCCCTGAATAGGGATACCAGAAGGGCTCTATAAGGATACAATTTAATAACTAGAATAGCGTTTTGGGGTTCCTTTAAAGGGTTCCTTCAAGGGTTCCTTAAAGGGTTCTATAAGGGCTACTATAAGGGTTTAGGGTAGAGGAGCCTGAATCATTAGAATGGGGTTTTGGGGCCCCTTATATTAGGATTGTGTCTGGGCTTAGAAGGGTTTAGAGCTTCTGTAGGGACTTACGGTTTGAGTCAGAGGGGTTTTCGGATTTTTGGGGCGGGAGGTTTAGTTCAAGGACGTAGGGGGTGCTTCAGCTGAAATGCCCTTATAAGCTGCGACCCCACCAAAAAAGCGCCAAATTGATGCAAGGCTCCGAAGACTGCGGGTGGTAGGGTGCAGGGGTTCGGGTTTCGGGCTTTGGGTTTAGGGTTCTTTTTTTGAGGGTTTAAGGTTTAGGGTTTACGGTTTCGGGCTTACGGTTTATGGTTTGGGGTTCGGGGTTTAGGGTTTGAGGTTTAGTGCACCCTTAGTTCTTCAACTTCATAGCCTTAATTCGGATACGTCGGGTACGTACGTAGAACCATGCTTGCAAAGTCCCGCGATGCTTGGAGTGGGATTTGGGATCCCTGCGCCCTGCAATGTGTAATGCTAGCGGGCCTAAAGGCCTAAACGGTTAGAATAGCGCTTTGGGTAAATTGGGTATCTTCAAGTACATTGACTTTGAGGAATAATGGTGGTCAGTATTCGGGTTTCTATATTATGTAGGTAACTGTCAATATCAATATCATATTTTTCCTTTGGGGAACCCACCAAAGCAGACCTAATTTGGACAACCGCCCATGTCTCTCTGCCGCTGGCTTTGGGGTCGAACTGCACTGGCGATTCTTGCCTCTCATCATGGGGTGTGTTTGCACAACTCCGAAGGATCCTAGGTACCGTTCTGGGGGGATGCCTCCCCAAATCATCATTCTGAGTCTTAATATACAAACCCTACGTTCTCATGTTTAGGGACTTAGGGTTTAGGAACCCAAAAAGAAGCAAAAGGTTAAGCTTTCCGATTTCTACTCAACTTTAAGTAAGAGCCCAAAAACCATCGAGCGCAAGGCATCGGATGAAACTGGAGCCTCAGCCAGGTAACGTACTAGTTGAAATAGAGTCTGTGCAGCTCTTGCCAGTTGTTCACCCACTCTCCCGTAGTAAGGCCCCAGGAGGTAAACTACCATAACGTAGGGGCCTTAATAATTGGAATAGGGTTTTGGGGCCCATTATACTATAATTACCATAAGGCGCGCGCCCAAAAAAGTATAGGTAATTATTTAGGCCCCCACATTACCATAAACTAGGAGAATTATATTAAGAAACCCTCAAAATAGTAAAGGTAATAATTTAAGCCCCTACATCACCACAAACTAGGATTCGGCCATGTCGCTGCGCCGCCGTTCCTCGGCGGCCCTCCCCCCAGCGATGTGAGCCCACGGCATACCTCGCACGAAGGGCACGTAGCTTTGTACAGTTTCAAAAGGATCTTCTAAGATTTCATAGCTTATATTACAAAAGGGTCTTATAAGATTTCATAGCTTATGTTACAAAAGGGTCTTATAAGATTTCATAGCATATACTACAAGGTATATCAAAGCCGGCATAGTTTGAATGGGGCTCTAGGGAGGGCTCTGCACTGCAAAAACACAAGGACTTTGGGTTCATGGTTAGGGAGTTGTAGGGATGTTCGATTCAGGCTTTGAGTTTGTGCCTGCCTTTCTGCCGCGGTGCCATAAGATATAACATGTTCTTCATGATGAACATTGGGACAACAGCCAAGTCACAGCAGATACAACTTTCGACTGAGAGCAAAAGGTCTCTTTTCCCAAAAGGCGCAAGACCATCCGAAGAAAAGACATCCCCTCAATCGGCTAGCTGGGAGCGTGGCTGGAGGGGCCCAATCTCGGGAACCATTGGATCCAGCGCGATCCAAATCCTCATCAACTGGCAGACGGGCAGGCAGCGGCGGAGCTATCGGTTTTCGTTTACAAGATTTGGGTTATTGGGCTTAATTAGGTGTTTGGGCTTGGGGCTTGGGCTTCACGGAGATCCACTGTTTAACCATCCCATGCTTGTCAATACATGAGTTGGGCTACAAGCAGCAGTATCGTTGCTATGTAAACTCGACCAGAACACCCCAAAACCTTAAACACCAACTCCTAAAACCCTTATGCGAACCCTTCAAGGAACCCGAAAGGCAGTAACTCCTAATCCCCCACAAGCAGTAACCCCTAATTACCCAAAACCCCTAGAACCTTCAAGGCCTCGCTCATGGACCTGATGCCTTCGGGGGTCGGGACGTGTTTAGGGTTTAGGGCTTTGGGGTGCAGGATTTAGGAATTAGGGATTTAGGGTTTAGGGCTTAGGGCTTTGGGGTTTAGGGTTTGGCGGCTGGGGTCTGGAGTTTGGGGGTTCAGGGGTTTAGAGGTCTGAGGGTTTGGGTTGTGTCTAGTTTTTCAAGGTTTGAGATTCTTCTACGGTCTTTATAATGGTTTCTGATGCTGTTATACTAGGCTCCCCAAGCTACCCCTTAGAACTAAGGGTGCCGTGTTCCTTAAACTCTAAACCCTAATCCCAAACCATGAAACCTACACACTAATAACCGCTAATACTGAACCTCCAAAGTAAAAAGGGCATAGGAGTACCCAGTTGTTCACAGCAAGGGTTCAGGGTTTAGAGTTTTGGGGTTTAGGGCAAGCAGCAATGAACATACGGTAGTGCAGGTAATACTCCTACATGTTCAACAGGATTCAGGGCAGAGCGCTTCGGTGTATGCGTCAAAACATGCTGTTCACGTGCTTGTGGTCCCTACTCCCAGCATAATGAAACCCAAACGCTAAAACCCTAAACCCCCTAATAATGTAGGGGCCTTAGAAATTAGAATCGGGTTTTGGGGTTCCTTATATTACAACTATAGTACAATACACCCCCCCCAACCCTACTCTAATTATTAAGGCCCATATATTATCCTTAAACCCTAAACCTAAACCCTAAAACCCTAAACCCTAAAACCCCAAAACCCAAACCCTTAAACCCTAAACCCTTAAGCCCTAAACCCCTAAACCCCTAAACCCTAAAACCCTTATCGAGCACCCTGGAGCATGGCTGAGGTTCCCACGTGATGACGTCCTCAGGGACGAAATCGAAGTACGGAGAGTCTCTATGGAAGACCAACCTGGGTCATGTCTACAATAGACGGCCTGGGGTTTTGGGGTTTTAGGCTTTGGGATTCCTGCAAAGACCAACCTGGATCAGTTCCGTAATATACGGCCTACGGTTTTTGCGTTTAGGGTCCAGTGCAAGACGAAGCTGGGTCAGTAATATCTGGAAAATGTGCTAACATAGGGGCCTCAACAATTAGCATAGGGTTGGGGGGGTATACGCTGGCATGAGGATTTTCATGAACCCTAAGGGATAGCATTGGTAGCAACTTAATGTACGGTTTCGGGTTTGAGGGTATTTAACAAGTGAAAGTAGTCACGACTGCCCATTTCTACAGGGACTGTGTGCTGCGACTCATCGGGCTTCATGCATTTTTTTGTGTTCTATGTGAAAGGATTGGTGGGTTAAGGGGTCTGGAGGGGTTCAATCTGATCGTTACAAGGCTTACCCACAGGGTCCGGTTGTGGATTGCTATCTAAAGGGTTAAGGATGGCTATCAGGGTGGGTTCGGAGCTCTTGCAGTGACGTCAATAAAAGTGTACCAAGTAGTCCATGTTTAACAAATCACCCTGCAACTTGTATGGAAAAGCTAAGCTGCGATCTACATTGATGCTGTTGTGCTCCTTCCAACAGGATCTGCTACTTGCAGACCTCCTCTAGTACCCTATGAAGAATCCAGATTGGCTTTCTGGGAACTTTTCAGAACGAGGGCTGAAAGATGGCCCGATGGGTTCTGGGTTTTGCCACCTCGCAGAATGCCCTGCCAAAGCATCCTAGGAGGGCACGGTACGCTATCGTACTACAGGGGGTTTTACACATATGTATATGTATATATGTATGTATATATATATATACACATCCATATACATAATGTAATGAGCTATGATACTAAAGTCCATGTACATCTAACATGTGTAAAGATACATACCTCAATGCTCAATACCCTCTGAAACCACGTCTTGGGCAAACAGAGCCCACAACCATGAGTGCTTAGAGGCTTAGGCATCAAACCTTTACAAAGGAAACCCAAGTCCCTTAAGCAGCCACTTCAAAACTGTTCTGGCCAGGCCATGAATGTAATTTGCGTAAACCCTGCAATACGCTGTAATACTGCGGTAGGACGAAAGTTCG